TATAGAATAAGAGCTATAATTTAAAGATCTTAATTGATCTATAAATAAAGCTCAGTTTAATCAGTTTACTGTATATATATATATATATATATAGATAGATAGATAGATAGATAGATAGATAGATAGATAGATAGATAGATAGATAGATAGATAGATAGATAGATAGATAGATAGATAGATAGATAGATAGATAGATAGATAGATATTAATGTTAATTAGTTGAAAGTAGGTCATGTTTTCTTCATGTTATGTTCTAGTTCTGTTTGGTGCTGGTACTGGATGTTGTGTTGATGCGCAGATTAAACGTCAGATTATTTGAATTTATCCTGATAAAAGTTGGTTAATTAGTTACAGGCAGCATCAGATTGAAATTCAGGCGGTTTCATCACTGGAAGTTTTGTGTCAACTGTTGCAAATAAATCTCCACCTTTAATATTTTTGTTTATGGCGTCTGCATAGAAAGCCTCCCTTGCTTTAGTGTTGGGTGATAGTTACGTTGTCTTGGTTTATAGATGTCATAATGAACGTGAGGTTAAGTTTTACGGCGTTTTCGTTCAGCTCTACAGCAGCGTTTCTTGCAGATCCAACTGTTTGTGCGTTTCTCCATGGAGATTTCTTCCTACCAGACACAACCTTCACTTTGATGGGGCGATGTAATCAATGATATCTGAAACTTATCTACATCATTCCAGGATGGGGAGGAAGAGGAGATTAGGTGAACTGTTTCTGCACTCTTGGCTGGGAGAACATTTTGTGATCGTAGCTTTTTGGTTAAGTGAGTCGATGTTGATGGTGCTTTCAAAGACATGAGGAAATGATCTGACAGTTACAGAAACATTAGAAATATTCACACCCTGACTGAATAACCAGGTCCAGTTTTTGTCCTTGATTGGTTGATATGTTGAATTAGACCAACATATTAACCAATCACATTGTTTCTTTGGCCTTCTGTCTTTGCCAATATGAATGTTAAAATCACTGACAATTATTAAACAATCATAATCAATGCATATGAAGATACAAGTTCATTAAAATCAGCAAAGACGTTTTGTTGGAGTTTGATATAAACTTAGTGTCAGAGTTCGTTCAACTCAACACCCAGAACGACCCAAAAAGATTTGTTACAATTTATGACATTCTTAAGTACAGAAGCCAATCCTCTCGTATTTTTATGTTTTCCGTTGCCACTTAAAAACATTTAATATTGCGGCTCTGGTTGGATTAGTACAGCTGTTTCTGTATCGTCATCATCCATGTTTCTGTCAGGAACATAACATCAATATTCTGCTGAGAGATTAAGTCATTAACTTTGGTGTTAATTGAATATTTAAAAGAGCCACTTTGAGTGAGTTCCTGAGATTCTGGATCCTTTATGCAAGGATGGATCTGATGTCTGACTTCAGGACGCTGTGTTTCTGTTTTTTGTACGTTTTCTTTTCGTGATCGGGACAGAATCTGTCCTGCTTTGTAGTGCTGGGGGCCAGATGCATTCTGGAGGAAGACAGGTGGAAAGATAATGTCTGTTATCTAACCTCAGACTTTAGAAACAATTGGAGGGAGCTCTAAGGAATCAGAGTCAGGTACTTTTGCTTTTTGAGCACCAAGAAAATAAGTAATTTTATCTCGAGGTAACATCTTTTTCTCGTGCCATTATTTCTGTAATCCCATACAGAACATAATAAATGCGTTTAACAGCATAAGAAAAGCAAACATAGTTTTAAAACAACATTTAAACTTTCAAAACAGCTGCAACTTTCATGGGCTGCAGTACTGCGGCTTGGCCGCCAGGGGGAGAGCGTGTAAGGTTACGCAAGTGTGAAAGTCTGCAGTTTTGTAACGACGTGTAACGTGCTGGCTTGTCGCTTCGCTTCCCGCCTTAAAGGCGCCCGAACAGAACCATGATGCGTTCACGGAGCGGCTTACTGAGGCTAAATGGGGGATAAGATCATTATGTAACGGAGACGTTAAACTGAAACACACAATTAAGGCTGTAAACTTTGTCAAGATGGAGAAAATCAGCACCGGAAACCAGAAGCAAGAGCATCTTGAGATATTTCTAACATCATTTAAAATACACAGAATGGTTGATGACAAGAGCAAACATGTTTTACATGTTTTAAATATTAAATAGCGAGATTCTGGTTATTATAATAAGTTCTCGTACCGTAATAAAACGTGTAAAAGCGCTTAGAAGTCACGGTTTAGTGTTTTTGAAAACCTCCCGACCGGAAGTTGCATCTTCCTTTTGGTAGCTTGACGCTTTTACATGTAGCGTCAATGTCAGGGTCCAAAAGAAGCCCCGACAAGCAAATAAAATAAAATAAAACACTTTAAAACAACAGAAAAGGAATAATAATGCACTTTGTTTGAAGACATTAGAGTTAAAAGTAATTTTAAGGCACCAGAGCGCAGTTTTAGTTTGGATACATTTCTGAACATTCAGATACTTACAGTGAAACAAGCGGCCGGCGCTGCCCAGCGCTGCCATCCCGCCGCAGGATCCGAATCCCGGCTCAAACACGCTCCAGATGACCGCTGTCCCTGCCGTGGAGCCCACTCGTGTCAACCACCCACAGGACAGTTGAATAGCCAGATTCCTTCAGCTTCAACCGGCGGAAGGCGCGGACTTCCGCCAAGTTTCATTTGGTAACAACTCACTTCCGGTGACAGACCTACAAAATAAGGTCGCGGTGCAGCACCACGCTTGTAAAGGACTATATTATTTTATATATATATTGATTACATTTTATGTTTTTAGCCTCTAATTCAATATATATTTTAGAAATACATGTCACTGCAGTATAAATATGCTACTTTAAGATATATATTTTGATGTTATTAGTCCATGTGGCTATTTTATATGTTTCACTATAGATATTTTTACTTTGGTTGCAGTCAGTCCTGCATCCAATCTGAAGAGGCTTCTGACTGAAGGCTGTTGTTGCATGACAGTCACGTTTATTTAATTTCCCTATTGGATCATATAACTATTTTGGAGTCATTACATGCTAACAGCCAAATATCCAGGTAGCAGAAATAATACTATATTGCAACATATTCTGGATGACATCATCAGTTGTTATCAAGTCAGCTAATCCAACTTATTAGCTGTTGCTACCCCTCATTAAATCTCTGTCGTAGCTTAGATATTATTTGAGCCTTTATGAGAAGCTAATGAGCTTTAAAGTTGTGGAAACAACTCCTTGTTACCATGGTTACGTGTGTAAAAGTAAAAAACAAGCTGTGTTTTTATTTTTGTGCTCCATCTTGCCTGTCACTTGCTGTCATGCCTGAATTTCCCAGGATAAAAGTTGAGCGAGGAAATCGTTTCAAAAGCGTCGTGCTTTTAATGTGAAATGTGTTTTCCTCCTTAACGTCTGGTTAAAACGGCTAGCTTGATGTCATCGGTCATCCGTGTTGCGTCACATACACGTTTATCTCCTTCCTTTAACCACGCCCACGTCACGAGAGACACGCCCACATTACAGAACCTTTGATGCCTGAGGGCAGAAAGATCAGAGTTAAAACTCAGCAGTTTGATTTTGTAACTAAAATAAATAAAATAGTTTTGAGTGACTTTTATTTTGGAGGAACATATAAAAAAACATGATGCAAAACTGTTTAAATTAAGAGCTGAGCAGCAAAAATGTAATTAATATTACACACATGTATTTAGTAAATGTTTATATTTATAGGTTTCCACTTACTCAATAAAGGACATGAATAAAAATAAAGATTGATTATACTTTATCAATCCCAAAGATGAAATTGATCATTTGCTGACAAGCTATTCCAACGTGTAAAATATTAGTAAACACAAATGTAATCATAATCAATATAAAATTAATTAAAAAATATATAGATAAGAGTAATGTGATTTAAATTAGACTAAATATGAAATAAATAAAATAAAAAGGACTTTGCTTTGAAAATGACAAATTTACATATGTGTGTGAATCTCAATAAACTCATCTTTAAACCCACATTTTACCTCAGTTATGTTTATTTCCATATGTGTCTTTTGCATTAAAATTTGGTTAATTTCTTCAACAGACCTTTAAAAACAAAATAAGAAAAGCAGGAGTTCACAGTAAGAAAAGATCAAACTGTTTTAAGAGCCAGTCTCCAGGATTTGTGACTTTTAATTATTGTTTTGACTGTGAATGTGGGAAACTTTTGGTGTTTTTCTTTTTCTATTTCCTGATTCATTCAGATAAAATCAGGTTTTTGTCTTTCATTGTCCCACATTCCTTCAGACTCAGATTTATTTCCTTCTTCCGTTTACAGTGAAGCTTAAAGAGGAACAGAAATAAACCAGCAGCTCATCAACAAGGAAGTTTTCACATAAGAACCTGTTTGTTTTTGTGCTGGATGATCAACTTTAAGAAGTTCAGTCTGCAGCGGCCCCTAGTGGCCGCCAGAGGAACTGCAGCTGCATGACTAAAGAGATGATCCAATTTAAGACAATCAACCAACTAATTTATTTAAATATATGGCACTCATCAGCTGTTTAAAGGTAAATGTCTTCTGAGCCGCTCTTTTCAGGTATCGAACTGAAATGCTTACAAATGTTCAACACTAGGGGGCAGTATGCTGCATGTTAAACCACTGTATGCAGGAAAAAAAGTCAAAAATATTCAAAAATGCAGAAATTAATTTAACAAATTCTGTAGAAAAAAACTCAAAAATGTTCAACTTTTGAAATAGAAAATTTCTCCAAGGTTTTTCTAGGAAATGTCTGAGTTGCTGCTGCTTTATTTTTTCTATCTACTTTGCTCTAATATACTGTCATAGCTGCCAGAGTTACTTAAATTGGATTGTTTTAAATCTGGGGTTCCCAAAGTGGGGTGGGGTCCACCAGGGGGTCGTGAGAAACCAGTTTGGGGTCGAAAGATTATGAGCAGAATCATCATGACGTGACAGCTGTGATGCAACCAGTGATAAAGTTTCTGCTTCGTGTTTTCAGGTTCCTTTTACACCATGAGTCAGTGACTCTCTGATGTCTCTAACTGCTTTTATTCATCCATCGTTATACTGAGATGCAAAAACAGTTAAAACGAGTTTGTCGTAATAATTTCAGTTTTTCATCTCCCTATGAAATTCATAATACACATGATTATAATTTTATACACAAAGGGTTTGATCATTTGACGCAGAAGCCAAAGAGGAAACCAGGATGAGTCTGAAAATCATCTTCCCTTCAGTTTCACACTTTATCTGATCTTATCGCATCATTTCTGTTGTTTCTCAGACCAAAGAGAAAATTAGTTGAAGTTGCATCAACGTTTTGATCAGAATCATAAATTTAGCTTTTATTAAAGTTTATTCAGTTATAAAACTGGAACACATTCCTGCAGGACCCAAAACCTCTTTCTGGTGCAAGTTTCAGCAAATCTATGGCAGCGTTTCGTAGACAGAAAAAAGAGGAAAATTTCAATAAAAAAAAAAACTGAACATTTCTGGGTTCCAGAAGTCTAGCTTTTTTTCTGAAGCACCGAACCGTCGGGATGCTGCAGCATCGAACCGTCGGGACGCTGCAGCACCGAACCGTCGGACGCTGCAGCACCGAACCGTCGGGACGCTGCAGCACCGAACCGTCGGGACGCTGCAGGCAAGAAAACATTCATCTCTTTAACAGCTTCATCAGCAGCAGGAGTTTATTTGTTGCTGCCTTTTTAAAGGACACTTATTTTTATATTTCAGGCTGCAAAGGCTGAATGTGGAGGAAATAATTATCACAAACATTTTTTAACCTTAAATATAAACTTGATCTGCTTCTTTTAATGGGGTAAAAATGTTAGAATGAGAAATACATCAAGCTGCAGCTCGCAGTTTATTCAGTCACTCTGAGGCGCGTCTGTAGAAAATATCTGTAGCAACGGCTGCAAACAGCCGGGCTGGAGTCCGCCGGCGCCGGCACCGGGCCGGGCCGGGTCGGGCGTTGAGCCGGCGCTGAGGCAGGCGTGTTGGTTCTGGACGGGCGGCGCCGCCGTCAGTCGTCTGCGAAGGTCAGCCGACCCGGGCCTTCGTTCTTCATCCAGCGGCGGTACCGCTTCATCTTGGGGTCGGTCGCCAGCTTGGCCTTCATCTCCTCCTCGCGCTCCTTCCTGTACGCCTGGAGGAAACGGGAGAGAATCAGAGGCTGGATAACAGGAAGGAGCTTCAGAACCAGGCTCTGATCAGTGAAATATGAAAACTCACAACCCGGCGAAGGAAACAAAAACTACGTAAATAAAGTCGTAAAGTTACGACAAAATGTCGTTCAACAATAATATAAGAATTAAAACGTACAGAAAAACTTTATTTGTATTATAATAGTTATTCTCATATTACTTTTCTTCTATCATTAGTAATTTATTCTAGTGATTTTACATCTTTATTATTTATTACCATAACAAAACCTTTTTCTATTATTATAACTTTATTCTCATAATTTTATTGTTTTAAAAATATAAATATAAAAATCTGGCTTTGAATCAGAAGTTATAACAGTTTGGGAGTCAAAGTGTCTGTTTTATTCTTTTTAAACCTTCAGAAACAGGAAGTGGCCTCTGATTGGCCCAGAGTTCTTAAAGGGGCCTCGTACCTCGTAGTTTTCTCGGACCCACAGCTGCTTCTCCAGGAACGTCTGCTTGGCGTTTTCCTCCAGACTGTCGAACTGGGCCTGCGACAGCTTCATGTTCCTCCTGATGAGAGCAGAACCGGGCCGTCAGAACCTCAGCCGGAACCCGAGCGGCGCGGGGCGGCGCCGGCCGCCACTGACCTGATGAGGTAGAGCTTCTCCTCCTCGCCGTAGTCCTCCCGGCAGACGGTGAAGCGGTACACCCAGCGGGCGTACCACGCCACGTAGCGGCTCAGGTAGAAGGGGAACAGCGCCATCTGGCACAGCAGGATGTCCGACAGGTTCGGCTTCTGGTAGCCACCCTTGATGTCGATCTTGTTCTTGATGATGTCACGGATCACTTCCTCTTCCTGCTCGCGGATCTCGTCCTTGGAGCGCCGGTTCTTGCCCTTCTCCTTGGTGCGGCTGAGCAGGCCCTGCTGCTTGGCGATCTCGGTGGCCTGGATCCGGTACTTTGGGACGGTCACCAGGTAGTTGATGGCCTTGTTGTAGCTGCTGCACCAGCTGACGTACTGGAGAGCAGACACTGGTTATACTGGGCCAGGAAGAGGCTGGAGGAAACGTTTCACATCCAGAACCAGAACACTTCAGACCCACTTCAGATCTATGTGGATCTACATCTAGACTCTTGTTTAAGGTGATTTTATTTAGTTATAAGCTCCAGCCAGAAGGGGGCAGCGGTGCTCCTACCTGGACGGCAGAGATGGCGCAGATGGTGACGAGGATGACGATCCTGACGTCGACCTTGGGGGCGAGGCGGCGGCGGTAATAGGCGTAGTAGTGCTGGTAGTATTCCTCAGGGTGGTCCAGCATGTAGTCGTAGTCGCGCCGCGAGTCTTCATCCTGCAGACGGAACAAACCAATCAGGATCAAAATGATTTGATACCAGAGACTGGCTGGGAAGGTTAGAACAGGAAAAACGCTCCTCTGAAACCAAGATGGCGGTTTTAGAGATGTTTGTACCAACTGTAAAGCACGGCAGAGGACGGTGATGATGTGGCTAATATCTGAGTCAGAAATGAACTTTTCTGTAAATCAGAAAAATTCATTTTTGAAATAAGAGAGAAAATCTGGAAATTTAACCATAAATCCAAACGCAGCAGCAGATCTGCAGGATCCGGATGGTCTAGTCAAAGTCCAGACCTTAAGTCTTCGTATACACAATATAAAAATAATGACAATAAAGTCATAATATTACAAGAATAAAGTCTTTGTATTACAAGAATTTGTATGAAAATAAAGTTGAAATAATTTGAAACTTTATTTCAAATTCAGTCTTGTACAACTTTCTCAAAATCCTAAGACTTTATTCTCTAATTATGACTTTATTTGTATATTATTTTGACTATTTTTGTATGACTTCATTCTTTTAAGTATCATTTTATTTTTCTTAGTTTGGCCCTCAACACTCCACAGTAGATAAGAGCCTCTGGAGATGATGGAGCAAAGAAAAGCTCTTTAGAAAACCCAGAACTTTCAGGACAATCCTGAGTGTCTTCAGTCAGAGGCTTCTTGTGATTCGCTGCAACACGGACTGCTACAGGAGATCCTTCCGCATCGCAGCTACATTTCCATAAAGTTTTTGAATGAGAGTAAACAGAGCCGTGACTCGCCTTCAGTGTCTCATAAGCCGTCGCGATCAGCAGGAACTTGGAGTGAGCGTTCTCCTCCTCTCCGGGCTCCTCGGGCCGGTACCGGTCCGGGTGGTACCGGCGGGCCAGCTGCCGGTAAGCCCTCGCGATCTCCGCCTTGGAGGCCTCCCGGGAGACTCCCAGCACGTCGTAGCAGACCTCCGTCCCGCAGTAGAGCCCCTCCAGCAGCGCCGTGGCGGCGGGCAGCGACGACACGGCGAGCAGGAGCACCGCGAGCCGCCACAGGCCGCTCACGGAGCCGCGGCTCCGCTCCGGGAACAGCGCCATGTCTCCCCGCTGCTGCTGCTGCTCAGACACGGAGCTCCCAGCGCCGGCGCATTCTGCTGACGTCACTAGAGCGCCGGAAAGAATGCTGACTCCGATCAAAATAAACGTTCAGGGTGGAGCTGTTAATGACGTTTTCTTATCATTTTCAGATGTTTATGACCTGCTTCTCGCGTTTCTCTTGCAAAATGTTGGAGTTTAACATTTTATGGCTTTGATTAAAAAGGGAAAATATTTTCATAAGTGATTTATTTTCCATTTATTAAGATGTTTGTGGTAAAATAACACCAAGACGAACTGTAAAGAAACAACATCCTGTAATAAATGTAACACCTGGATGACTTTATAAAATGTTTTAATGAAAAATAAAACTTTATATTTTATAATGGAGAAAATTTAAAGACAGAAAACTTTTTCTTTGGCTTATTTAATCTGTACCTATGCGTTTCATTTATATTTTAGTTGATACAAATTTATTACAATCTTTTCCGCTTACTAGCATCGCTCTTGTTTAATCTAGACAAGTTTTAGACTCTGGTCAACCAGAACTCACCGATACATCCGCTGCAGTTCAGGTGTATTAATCACACATCTGCCTTCAATAGAAGATCTTTGATTCCTGGCCCAAGTGATGACGTTGCATACAAATATGCCACCTGCTGGCCAATAAAATTCTAGAAAAAAAAACTTAATCACATTTTTTCCAAGAAATTTCTGAGCTTCAAAGGTTGAAAATTTGTGATAAAAATCCAGATTCCACAAAATGTGTCATGAATGATTCCAGGCATTTTAATTACATTGAAGACAGAAAACAACTTTGAGGTCTAAATGAGAGTAACCTGAAAAATGTTGCAGAAAAAACATGGACATTTTTAAAAGGTTTAAATTTTTACACTTTACAAAATAAGTTATTTTTAGAAAGTTTATAGCAAACGTTTGACTTTTAAAACTCAGAAGTTTCCAAATTTTTTCTAGAAAATTTCAGTTTTTTCTCTATTTTTCTATCTACAATTCACCGTCATTCTTAGCAGATTTAGTTGAACTTTAGTTGTTTTTGACCATTTTGCGTCCAATACAGGAAGATTTCTCTAGTTTTTAGCTGCAGTTTTTGGTCAAAACGTTGACAGAAATGAATATTTAAACTGCAAACACAGATTTATGGGAGGAGGAAGCTGGAGAACATCAACCCTGTTGAAAAAGTGCTGATGGAGGCTGAGTGTAAAAAGCGAGTGCTGTAGTCGGGGCAGGGTGTTATTTTTAGCTGGTGCAGCCCCTCACATCCATCAGGTGGTTATTGGCTCCCAGAGCGTCGGTACAAATCAGCAGAGCTGTCAGCAGCGTCTCCACTCAGATTATCGCCGGTGAAGCTGCGTCTCTGCAGGAGGTCTCATTCAGATTTCACTTTAATCCGACGCAGGCTGAGCGATGGAGACGCTAACGGCTCTGTGGCTTTGCTTCCTGCAGGAACCAGGCTGAAGATGTCGAGCGAGAAGAACCCGGAGGTGGTGGGATGCGACGCCTCCATCATGAGGAACGTCTGGGAGATCCGGATGAGGGAGTTCGGACAGAGGATGCTCCTGGAGCAGGAGCGGCTGGAGAGGAGCGCGCTGCCCGCGTGAGAAAACCAAACATTCATCAAACTTCTACTGTCAGTTTTAGACAAACTGCAGCCGTTGAGGTGAAACCGAACCCAACCGGGACGAATCTGTTTTAATCTGAACAAACGGGACAGAAAGTCCTGCAGTCACCCGAGAGACGTCCAAACATCCAAACTGTTTGACATTTTAGATCCCAAATCAAAACCAGAGGCTGAAGTTTCATCCTGCAGAAACTGCAGCTCACTTTCTCCTGGCATGAAGTTTGTTTTCAGAGTGAATCTTAAATTGATGCTAATTTAGAGGTTATGAACAGATTCCTGACTGGGTTTGGTCTTCAGATTTTCAAAACCCAGTTTCCATCTCCAGATAAAGTTTTGCAGTTTGAATTCACTCTGATGTTTGATTTTTCCCCCTGAAACAATTTCACAAAAACAGTCAGGAAATCGAAGTTTTGAAGATTCTAAAGTTTGAAGGGTTTCTTTCTACTTTAGTTGCTCTCTTAACCCAGTTTCACTCTGTTCCTTAAATCCGACCCTTTTTACATGACACACAAATTCTTAAAGCTAAAAAAGTTATTTTGAAGAAATTTCTGAAACTCAACAGATTCCCAAAGGGCTCCGAACTTTCAGAGCACTGAAAAAACACAAAATGTTTCAATTATTAATATCTTAGTGAAACTGAAATGACTTTAATGCAAAATATAAGACACTTTTAGGTTAATAATTACTTAACATTCATAAAAATGAAAGAAACTAATAATTTTTTAACCTACATAAAGATATTATTTAGTTAGTTACTTGTTTGGTGAAGATTTTATCAATTTTGGGTTTTTTGTTTGAAAGAGAAACTGACCTCATTTGACCTCATTTTCTAATTAAAATCTACAAAAAACAAAATCTGAAAACACATCTTAAAGACTAAAGTCTGAGATGCAGGAAAAATTCCAACAAAGCTTTAAATGAAAGGTTCTGAAAAGCCATCAGGTCTGAATTCATAAAAAAAGATGAAAGACGTTGAAAAATAATTATTAATTATGCAAATTTGGATAAACAAAAAAACAAATGATGCAGAAAAACAATGGGATTTATTTACGTTTCGCAGTTCGTCTTGCATTTGGGTCACTGAACTGGAAGGCAAACAGAAATGAACTGTTATGGTAAGAAAAGCTCAGAGTTACAGGAAGATTTGTGTCTGGAAGGAAAATACCAGAAATCAAAAATGGTTTGAAAAGGTTTTCAGAGCAAAAATGTTGTTTTAAACTCAACATAAATAGAGCAAAAACAGAAACAAGTCACTTTCCTTCAACCATGTTTCTGCTTTAGTTGCTGCATTTGTATGAAATGTCTTTAATTATTTTGTATTTCTTGCTTTACTAGTTGGGTTGTCATATATTTATTAATATCTCGGTCTCAGTGAACTCAGGTTCATTTTAATGCCAGCTGCTCTTCATCCAGTCTAATTCAGAGATCAGTCACACAGTCACAGCTGTAACCACAGATTTAATGTTTTATTACGTGTGAACATCCTTGTGGCTTTAAAGAGGAATTTATTAAATTATTCTGTAAGAGTTAATTTCTCAGAAACATCATGATGATGGAGAAACGACGACGTCCAGAGCAGGAAACTTGACCCACCAGAGCAGCAAAGGTCACCAGTTAGCTTTGCCAACAAATCTCCACAAAAGGTACCGGTCCAAGACCGCATGCCATGTCTCGACTTCCAGAGCCGCTTGAAGAGCCCAACAGATTTAGCGGGAGCTGAAATGAATACTCAGGGAGAGTGACAGTGATTTATGATCCACTCTGCAGGGAATGTGTGTTTCATGCTTTCAGTCAAACATTTCCTTATTAGAACCAAAAAATCAAACCCAAGCATCGGTCTGGTTAGGGTTGAAGTGAACTCTGGTTCAGTTTGAATGCATGTGTGAACACCAAGCAGATAAGAGATCGCTCCAAAGCAGGAAGTGGACAACAGGGCAGAGCATTCTGGGTAAAAACGGACTGATCTAGCGCCAGCAGGAGAAATGACTCCTGGTTTTTAGCCAAAGACAAAAAGAGAAATCCTCCACCCTCTAAAATCTGACGCCTCCATTTGTTTCTGTTTTGCAAAGAAGAAAGTTGCTCTCAGTGTCTTCAGAGGTTTTCATGTCGTTTCCTTCAGTGGCTCTTGGTGCAGCGCCCCCACAGGCCAGGAGGGGAACAGGTTGCTCTAACAGTTTGGTTGGTTTGACTCAGAGCAGAGAGAAAGCAGGAACGGTGCTTTTCCCAGAACATTTCTGAGCTCCAGAAGTTTAAAATCTGCAAGAAAAAAAAAATTGTTAGATTAATCTCAGAAATTTTGGGGGGGAAAACAGTTGAAAATTTTGAGATTCAATTTTGTTTTGAATCTCAGAAGATTCCAATGAAACAACAAATAAAGTTACTCATTAATTATTCAACAATTTATGACAAAACAGGAAAAAACATCCAACTTTATTTTCAGTTTTCATTTTTTCCTCAGTAGCAAATCTGAAATATTCAAAAACAACAACAAAGAAAAACACCAATCATTTGTTTGTTGAACTAAAACCTTCAGGGTAAATAATGTACACTAATTGTGATTTTATTTTTTTAAGTGCAGCCGATGTAGTTTGATCTCCTAGCAGCAGGACATAACAGGTTTTCTATAAATAAAAACATTGTTGTGTTATTTAAGAGCTGCCAGATGGCAGCATCACTTTCCCCCTCAGTAACTTCACCTCAAGGTTTTCATCATCACAGGCCTGGATAGAAACAGAGCAACCAAATTTACTCCAGAACAAAAAATCCAGAATTATCTCCACACCGCACAGATTTTCTGGAACACATAGTTCCAATTATTTTTAAAATCAGACCAATAAACAGTCAAAATTTCTTAGACGTGTCCAAAATGCTCAATGAAGTGTGAAACATTTCTGGAGAAATCCTCTAATCAAGAACTAAAGCACTTTTAAATTTATGTTAGGATCAAAAAGTTTGAACTGCAGGTTTTTATGTCAAGACAAAATAAATAATGGCGAGCTGTGTTCATTAACTTTTTTTCCCTTTTGTTCTTTTTTTTGTTTGCACAGCATCAACAAGGACTGGGCAGATCGAATGACTGCCAAGATGGGCAAATACAAAAGAGTGGAGAGGAAAGTTGCACCTTCCGATATCCAACCAGACGACAACATCTGGAAGAGCAAGCAACCGCTGGTTCCTCAGGGAGTTCCTCTTGGTAGAGGTTCGGGTCCCGTTGGCAGACCAGCAGTCCCGGCGAAAAGCTTTTCTGCTCAAGCCCCAAATCTCAAGGACAAAAAGGTGCAAGACAAGAGTTTCAACAAACTTCAGCTTCTCATGTCAATCACCAAAACTCAGCCATCATCTCTGGTGTGGGGCAAGGCTTGGAAGTTCAACAAGTCCTTACCGTCACCAGCAGAGGGCGCAAGTCCAGACTGGGGGCAGTCCTGGATGTTTGCTCCCTATCAACCTCGAGCTGAAGAAAGTAAGCCTTGGCCAAATGAGCCCAACCTGGTGGATCCACAAAGCTATCATCTCTGGAGAAAAGCCTTTTACAAGATGGTGGAACCACAGGAGCTAGACCTGAATCTGCCTGCTGACGAATGGCAAACATCCTGGAAAAGATTTGAGAAAATCAAGAAAGATTCCGCTGAAGATGAAGAGAAAGCCTATAAACATGGATTCTTCACTTCACTGGTGGAAACCCAGCACCAGAATGAAATCTTGTGTTCATCAGAGTGGAGTGATTCCTGGACGTCCACCAAGCCAGGCAGCGAAGGTTTACTGACAGCAATGGTTGATGACAACAAAGATGTGGGAAGAGAAATAAACCCAGAATGGGAGGAATGTTGGCGGCTTCTCAACCATCATGGCAGCAACAGCTTCAAGCTTCCTCGCCATCAGAAACCGCTCAGTCCAGAATGGGCCAGTTCATGGAGAACAGCAGCCGGCGTCTTCAACAAACAGAGTTCCTCTCAGAACCAGCATCACGGCTTTGACGATCACAGCCTGGAGAGAGACGGTTTTGACAAAATCACCTCTGCAACTCGTAAGAGAGACCTTCAGTTCTGCAATAAATTTGAGGCGATGGGCGACTGGAGCAAGTCATGGGAGATACCAAAGAACAACTCAAAACCTTGTGCCGAGATAGATAAAGTTCTCAAAGCCACACCACCGAAGATAGATGTTGAGACTCAAAAGGTGGAAAAGATCCCTCAGGTCAATTACTCAACAGAGAAAGTAGATCCAAGGTACGAGCAACTAAGACGTGATGTGATACATCACACAAGGAGGGAACTCCCTGAGTCAAAGATACTGCTTCTGAAGCACCTGCAGAAAATACTTCCACCTTCTGAATGGAGGGATTCCTGGAAGATAATAAAACACAGAATGAGACAGGAAAAGAGGAGGTACAAGCCGGATCCTGTGAAGCCTTTCAGAGAGTCTGAGAAAGGGGAAGATTCAAAGCCCAAAGCCTCAGAGTGGAAAGACTCCTGGAAGTTTATGTGCCGGCCTCTGAATCAGAACCCTGAGCTGTGGCAACAAGGTTGGTCCACCTCAACGCAAGTCCGGGTGAACTGGGAGAGGCACCAGAGTGAGATTTCAGTGGAGAAATTTCCTAAAAATGGTCCAACAAGTGAACGGGTTTGGGGAGAATCCTGGAAGTTCTCAAGGTACCAGCATCGATCAGAACCTGTACAAGCCAAAGGTCAAGTCGCCAAAGGGAAGTTGAATGTTCCTGATAACTCAAGACAACAGGAAAGTCATACCAAGTCCATGTCAGATTGGCAAGATGCCTGGATGGTCACAGAAACAGAGATGAGACACGACAAACCGTCTTTTGTTCAGTGGAGGGAATCCTGGAAGTGGTCTATCTACCACACACCACATTGGACTGGACTAGTATCTACAGACAAGTGGGTGGATGAATCCACTGAGATCCAACGCCCAAAAAGCATTCTGTCCTCAGAAGGGGTGAAAGCTAAAATGAATCGCTCCTTTGACAACAAGATATTTGGCCAAAGATACCCTGAGAAAGAGTGGAGCTCCTCATGGAGCACCAAATCACTTTAAGCAATCAATCGAGCAAAAGTAGTTCAACTCAGCAGCAACATCCCAGTCTGAGTGAGTGTGGATGTAAGTGGGGAAGATCTTTCAGACTTGCCAACCCAAAGCCCCAACTGGATCAGCCCTGGATTGAGTCTTCCCAGAACCCTGGTTACTACCAGGTTTTATGGTCAAGCATAAACAAGATGCAAAACATAAATAAAAATAAATCTGACCTAAACAAAGTGTTTGCTTCTGCCACACTTTGGGCAAACTCCTACCGGTTCCTGCAGAAACCCAACAACCAGCTTAATACCAAAGGTAGATCCAAAGTACTCAGTGATCAAAGAGTGATTTTACCAACAAAGATCAAAACGAAGAAGCAACTGGTATCTGGGATGGAGAAGGAGAAACAATCTGAGAGGAAGTGGGCAGGATGCCACCTCCTGGGTAAAACTCAACCTCGTCCCAAGAAAGGCAGCGATTCTAACAGGAAGCTCCCGCCTGACGACAGCGTCTATAAGAAATTCCTGGAGGAATGGGGAGAGTCTTGGAGATTCTTTGTCCGTCCTGAAAACCTGAAAAAAACAGATGAGCTTCAAGCCAATATCTGGTTGGGATGAATCCTGGAAGTTCCTCCTTCCACTGTACTGAAACGAAAACAATCGCTTCAAGAAATGAGTCACTTTGTTGAACCAAGGATCTGCATTTGGGCCATAAACTAGGAATGTGTTTGATAGCGCAGGACAGTGTGGATGGAAGGCATGTTTCAGGCAAATAAATCAGAACAGTATAGTTTTAAATTGCCATTTATGAGAAAAAGGCAAAGAAGAAAAGGGATAATGATCTTATGAAGAGTGGGTGTAGTTTTAATGTGAGAATATTAAAACAGTTTGAGAAAGAGAAATGTACACAGGACTGTCTGATGATGAAGGTGAAGGAAATGCTGAAGTCTCCTGAATAAAGGAGTAAAACAAACAGTATCTTGTCTTTATTCAGCCTGTCACTGCAGGAGTTTCTTCAACCTGACAAACCAAACAGAAGATTCACTGACTCCATCTAGTGGACACATCTGGTAAGACATGAATCATTAGTACCCTTCATTAGCTTGATAAATATTAACTAATCATTTGTTTTTGTTGCAAAATGAAAAAGCCACAAATAACTTCAATTTATTATGGATTTTTAAAAAATACATTTAATCCTTGAAAGTAAGGATTAAATCTGTACTTTTCAGCATAAATATATAGATATTTTTTAGATGAAGCTCCAGTCCTTCTTTTTATGTCCTATTTCACAGATATATATTTGTCAAAGTGTTGTGGCTCTGGTGTCATTTATAAGTATCAAATAATAACTGAGTGAATTTCTAGACCAAATTATACAACAGTGACATCTAGTGGCAACAGAAGTAAAATTAAAATTTATTTTATATTCACCTGGAAACAGAAATGAAATTAAAAGATGGACAAAGAACAGGAATAAGTAGAGCAACAACAGTATTAAAATGATTATATGTGTAAAGATTTGTGACATCCTGTTGAACTTGGTCAATTTAAAACAAACTATTTTAACAATTTATAAAGTAAATCCAACATGATCTGGAAAAACACCCAAACAAATCCATGTTCTGGTAAAGCTCCATACATTTGACAGCAAACGTATGGAAACCTAAAAATGCCATGTAGTTGAGCTAAAAATAGATCTGGCAGTTCACATGACATCAGCAGCAAAATGATCTGAGCGTCTCGTTACGTGACGGAGACACAGCTACTGAGCATGCTCAGACCGAGCAGACATCCTGCGCACATGTAGAAAATACACACACACACACACACACACACACACACACACACACACACACACACACACACACACACACACACACACACACAAAGGTTCTGATCATACATGAGGAGAACATAGTTTAGGTTTTCAAACATTTATTAAATAAAACTCAATGTTTAACCAATGAAAACGATACAATCTGCTCCTGTTTTCCTTATTGGCTTAAATGGACGTGATAAATAATCCCAAGTTCACTGGAGTTTGAAACTGCTGCTTTTCTAACTTCCTGTTGCAGCTAGCTGTGATGCTGTGCTCATGCTAGCGTGCATAAAAAGAAATTCATTTGTAAAATTCTGCATTAATTTGAATATTTCTACTTAATATTTACATTATAAACTTAATAATTATTTAAAGTGACACCTTTCAAGGTATTAAAAATGAAAAGAAACTAAATAAATGCAACAAAAACCTAAAGGAATTATTTAAAATCCAAATACATAAAAAAATAAAAGTATAGACAAATGAAAACTACAAAAAATGAATTAAAATAAAATCAATAAAACAAAAGTAATTAAATCAATAAATAGAAGCACAGACAAAAAACATAAATAAAATAAATTAATAAATATAAAAACAAGATAAATTCATAATTTTAACAGACAGAAAAAAAAGAGAAAAGAAAAACTATCAGTTTCAGTTGTTTTCTTGTTTTAAACCCAAAATTTGCTGAAGCTGCATTTTAGACATTTTGCATAATTTGTTTTTTATTCCAGTAACAAAATATAACGTTAAATAAACACCAAATTGGTTATTTTATATCAAATTTGTGCATCTGTCCATCATTTATCACCAACCTGTCGAGAACAGAGCAGCTTTAAATGACTGTTGTTCTATTTTTATGTTTCTGCTCCTGCAGCCTTTAAAGTCTCATCTTTGTCGTATTTCTGCAGCTGCCCGGTTTGTTGCACCTGTTGAATAAAGATTCATTTCACTAATGTGTTTTTCATCTAATCCTTGTCTGTTCCCGCTGGCCCGGCTCTAAATTTAGAGACGCAGCCCTGGATGTGTTGTGATGTAAAAATAGGAGGAGGGAAGCCGGCTCGTTATCCAGGACAGAGAGTCAAACTTCAAGCTGAAGGAGCGTCGAGAAGACGATCAGCGGAGCCGGAGAGGAAGGAAGAAACAGGACGGATTCAGAGAAACAGGCCAGAATTTCTTATTTATGTTTGCTTATCTTACAACATGTGATGTTTTTAGTTTGTTCTGTGGGATTCTAGTTTTGCATGTTGACATTTTGGCACTAATGGTTTCAGGCTCCAGAAAAACACTGAGAGCTGAAAACAGAGACAGTTTAACTTCAGATCAACAAACGTTTGTTAGTCTGAAGTTGGACCAGAAAATGTGTCAAATTGAGACATTTTTGTTCCTGCTGGTTGGTGCTCACTAGCTAATCAATCACCAGCTAATCAATCACCAGCTAATCAATCACTAGCTAATCAATCACTAGCTAATCAATCACTAGCTAATCAATTATTAGCTAATCAATCAGTAGGTCATCAATCAGTAGCTAATCAATCACCGCTCATTTTCAGGTGATTATTAAAAATCAGAAAATAAACATTGATCCTGAAATCATAAATGGTGACGGACTGAATCTTCTGTCCGAGTGGAAAATGTTTGAGTTTTATTCTGTCGGCTAGTGGAGCTGATGTCAGCCGGTTTCCATGGCAACGGGTGTGCGTTCGGTGAGAGCAGAAGAATTTGAGTTGTTTTTTTTTCCTCCTTATTTTCCCTTTACTATGGAGAACTGCCAGACAAACCAACTTGCAGATCTTTAATATTCTGCATTAGAGATTTAATTAAATCATCGGCTCTGTGAAACATGTTTGGGTTTTTTTGGGGAAGCGTCTCAGACAGCAGCTGGTCGAGGATCCCTGAAGTCATCCTCTAATTTTACAGCGTTTATTAAAACGGATGAGGCTGAAATGCAAAGTAAATCCTCCAGACGGTCGAAGTTTCTGATGCTAGTTTTAAAATGAGCCGTTCTTTAAAAACCTTTGACTGCAGCTCTTCCATTTTCACAAAACAAACTAAACATTTTCCATATTTACAAATCTCCAGTTACGGTATATAAAGTCATACATTTGAGCATCAGAGTTGTTGTGTTGATGTGCAGAATATGATTTAATATCTGAGTTGATTTAATATCTGTGTTTATCTCCATATTCCTCAGTTTGGAGGTTCTTGTTGCCGGGCAAAGTTTAATTTTAGAGCTGCTGCTTGTTGTTTTCATTCTCTGAGCAAATAACTTGTGACATGTTGTTCCTGGAACTAACTGTACGGAGGAGTGATCCTGCCAAAATTATCTAAAAAATATAGAAATAAATAAATCAAAATCAAAAACCAGACTAATACACAAGCCTGGATTGTATTTATTTTACTATAATTTTCTATTTCTTTTGTATTGTTGTTTAGAATGTCTTTTTAATGTTGTTTCACAGTGATAATAAATCTGTACTTTTTTGTAGGAAACACAATGTTGTCCAAAAAGGAAGAGAAGAGATCGTTCAGCAACGGCCGACTGAGAGACCAGTGGGAGAAAATAGCCCAGAACGAGGCAGACCAGTGCAAACAGGAGGCTGAATGGAAACGGAAAAGCTCCGTTAAAGTGTAAAGATCCAAACATTTATTCCTTCACAACTAAATAAAACAGTAAAAAAACAATAAATATACATTTGTCTGACTAAAATATCAAGTAAGTTGTGTATATTTTATGTGTTGGAGGCAACATTTGAAATGTTAAGTACGTAATTATTATTATTACTATGGGCAGTTTTGTCAGGACCAGACCTCCGTATGTAATTGACTGATTGAAATGTAAGACAATTCTGTTTTCTCAGTTCATGTAAAACAAGTTTTTCATATTTAATCAAACAGATTGTTTTTCTTTTCTCCAGTCTTTTCTCAAAGTGGACCTACCACTGGTCCAACGGAGACCAGCTGAAGGACGAGATTTCCGACTTCAGGAGGGCGACGACCCGGACAGACGACGAAGAAAAAAAGCCTAAAATCAAATTCAAAATCGTTCCTCCACCTCCAAAGGTCAAAGCGGAGCCTCCGCCGCCACCGCCGCCCCCCAGGAGGTCTTCCTCCCCGAAACGTCACAGGCAAAAACGCAAAGTGGAAGTGGACGTGTTTGGGTTGTGCTGGAGGGAGTCCTGGATGAGCCTGAAGCCGCCAAAGTACCTTTACCTGAAGGCCAGAGAGGCCAAAGAGAGGAGGACCCTGCTGATGACCTTAGAGTGTCCCAGGAACAGGAAGTACAAATCACAGACGTGTGGACTGGACCCGGACGGGACGGGTCCGGTTTCTAGTTGGAGTCTTTCCTGGAAGCAGGTGAGGATGGACAGATGGCACACTCCTGCTAATGCGCTAATAGCAGAGCTAATGCGCTAATAGCAGAGCAAATGTTTTGTTTAGAGCTTTTTGCTAACTTTGAGAACATTTAGCGCACTTAGCTTCCCCTACATTCTAAAGCACTAATTTATTGGCTGTTTTGTTAACTTTCAGTTGGATAAAGTTCAACATCTGTGTTAAAGTTTTGGTTAGCTTCCGCTAAATCTGTTAGTATAGCGCTGTAGCATTAGCTTCCACTGAATAATGTGTTTGTATAGCACATTAGCATTAGCTTCCACTATTATTCATTAGGTATATTATTGTATGCCTTTAACATTAGGTTAGACTAACTACAGTGTTGTTTTATTGTTTTAGCATTAGCTTCTGCTAAACACGGCGCTGGTGTAGCACTTTAAGGGTTAGCAAAGCTAAAGGTTTAGTTAGCTGTGTCCACTACTGTGCCATTGTGGAACTTATTGTTCTTTGAGAGGTCAAATGTCACAATAAAGGTCAAATGTAGATTTTCAGCTTCCCTCTCTAATATGTCAAGCTTGATTGTTGTTATAAATGGGACTTGAGAAAATGGTTGAATCTTAGACATAAAATCAACCAAAACAAAATTTTTCTCTGAATGTTTTCCTGGTTTCCAGGCGAAAAGCCCGGCTCAGTCAGAGCAATCAGAGGACAGAGACTTTGAGTGGGACACTCTGTTTGAAAGGACGCTGGTCAGCAAAGTGGCAATAGGAGAATATGGTCTTCCTTCCTGGGCCGGAACATGGAAGATCATGAACTTTCCCTTCAGGCAGCAGAAGAAGAACTGGGACTGCGGATGGGAAAGCTACCAACAGGAGCCGAGCGACAAGGCCGATAAGTTTGAGCTCATTCAAGAGCAGCTGGATGAGGTGGGGTCGTTGGTCTCCAGAGTTTCAGCTCCAAATCTGACTGACCAAAGAAAATTTGTGTTCTGGTCTTTAACTAGGACGAACCTGAAGGCTGGGAGGATTCATGGAGGCTCTCAGCAGAAGAAGATCCAACGGACGGGCCCGCCACGTTCACAGTGGAAATGAGCGACTGGCTGATGCCCGGATGGAGCAAATCCTGCCTGCTGGCTGCAGCTCTGCCTGAGGAATACGAAGAGCGGCAGAAGAGCTGGAGCTCCTGCTGGGGCCTCCAGCAGGAGCTCAGGTGGGTTCAGCCTCAACAGCAGCAGAACCTCTGGGAGGTTCATCAAAACGATCCCTTTACCTCAAACCACAAAGTTAGCTGGTTAACCCTAAGGCGCTAATAATTAGCACTGGTTCTTCTAACGCTAAAGTGCTATAGCAACTTAACATTTAGCAAAAGCTAATGCTAAGAGCTAAATTTAACCATGTTGACACCTAGCATGTGTCATGAGAACACGAGGATGGATGGATGGATGGATGGATGGATGGATGGATGGATGGATGGATGGATGGATGGATGGATGGATGGATGATGGATGGATGGATGGATGGATGGATGGATGATGGATGGATGGATGGATGGATGGATGATGGATGGATGATGGATGGATGGATGATGGATGAACGGATGGATGACTGACCTCTGGTTTCCCCTCAGGTGGCGTCAGCCGTCCGTCTCGTCCGCCCATCACCATACCAAGCAGATGTCCAGGAGACGGAGAGCCATAAACGTTTTCCTGTTGTCCGATCTGGACCGGTCTGGTCTGAGCGACTGGACGGAGGCCTGGAAGGCTCCAAAAGGACAGAAAAGACCGAAAGACGATAAAGAGCGGGAGGAAGGAGAAGGAACTGACGAAGAGGAGGATGAGGATGAAGGAATGGAGGAAGAAGAGGAGGATGAAGAGGAGGAGGAGAACAGGACAAACAAGTTCCAAAACTTCAACAAGAACAAGGTCGAGGAAAAAGAGGAAGAGGAGGATGAGGGTCTAGATGAAGAGGAGGAAGATGAAGAAGATGAGAAGGAAAATGGTGAAAAGGAAACGGAGAGAGGAATCGATGAGGAGAGTGAAGCTGAGGAAGAGGAGAAACTTAAGAGTGTCAGAGTGATGAAGGAGGAGGAAGAAAAATGTGACAGTGCAGATGAGGAAGAGGAGGAGGACAACGAATCAGCTGACAGGACGAAGGATGAAGAGGAAATTTATGAGGAAGAGGAAGAAAACGGCAAAACAAACAAAACCGAAAGTCAAAAGCTTAAAACCGAGCAGAGCAAGAAGGATGAAGAAGAGGAGGAAGAGGAGGATGCTGAAGATGAGGAAGAGGAGGATGCTGAAGATGAGGAAGAGGAGGAAAATCAGACCAATGATGAAGAAAGACATGAAAATGCCAAAACAAAAGAAACAGAAAGTCAAGATCCAGTAACTGAGCTGAAGAAGAAGAATGCTGAAGATGAGGATGAGGAAGATGCTGAAGATGAGGATGAGGAAGAAGAGGAAGACAGTGGAGCCAATAAAGAGGAAGAAATGCAAGAAAACGGCAAATCAAAAACGAAAAGTCAAGATGCAGTAGAGCAAAGGAAGGAGGATGCTGAAGATGAGGAAGAGGAGGATGCTGAAGATGATGAGGAGGAGGATGCTGAAGATGAGGAAGAAAGGAAGGAAATCAACAGAGCAGAAAAAGCCGAGAAGGAGGAAAAGAATGAAACAAAGTTGGGAAAAGACAAAGAAGAAGATGATGAAGAGGAGGAGTTTCTGGAGTTTGATGAAGAAAGCGGCAAAAGTAAAGGAGATGAAGAGGAGGAAGAGGAAACAGAGGAAGACTATGAAGATGCAGATGAAGAGGGCGAAGAACGAGAGAAGGAAAAAGAAAAAGAAAAGGATGAAGATGTAAACCTGGAAGAGGAAGAGGAGGATGAAGAGAACCCGGATTTAGAAGACGATGATGAAGAAGAAGAGGAAGAGCAGGAAGAAATGAACAGAAAACAAGAGGAAGAGGAAGAGGAGGAGGTTAAAGATGAAGGACAGAGAAACAAAGAGGAGAAGGAGGAAGATGAGGATGATGATAGCCTGGATGTAGAAGATGAAGAGGAGGAGAGAGAAAAGGAGAGAAAAACAGAAAAGAAGGAGGAAGAGGAGAAGAAGGACATTGTAGAGGATGATGAAGATGATGAGGAAGAGGATGATGAAGACAATAATGAAGAGGATGATGAAGAGGAGGAAGAAGAGACAAAAGAAAACGAAAAGCTGAAAGATGAAAATAACGACGAGGATGAAGATGGAAACATTCACAGGATGAAGATGGAAACCAAACAAAGACGCTGCGAAGATGAGGAGAACAATGAGGAAGAGGAGGATGAGGAAGAGCAGGAGAGCTCTGAGGAAGACGAGGGGGAAGATGATGAAGAGGACAGTAAGATGGAGGAGGAAGAAATCAACAAAAACAAAGATGAAGGTGAGAAAGACGGAGAAACTGATGAAGAAAATCCTGTGGAGGGAAAAGCTGAGAAACAAGCGGAGGAAGAGGAGGAGCATGAAGAGCAAGAGAAGAAGAGCGGCGTTCTAAAACAGACGAAGAAGAAGAAGCAGAAACGAGTGAAAAGCAAACCCGACGCTCCGCTTCACCTGCAGTTCCACAAGCTGAACGCCTCCTTCTCCTCGTGGCGGCGCTCCTGGATGGTCGCCGTCGCTCACCGCGGAGGAGCCGACGACGAAGACGACGCCGAGGACGAGGACGAGGAAGAGGAGGGAGAGGAGTGGCGGGCCTGGAAGGAGTCCTGGAGAATCTGCCGCTGGAGGAAGACGGACGAAGACGAAGTGATGAGCTTCTCCCAGGAGCACCGGAGGCGCCGGGACGCCATCCAGGAAGTGGACGAAAGGACAAACAGGAAGTGGGCTCTGAGCTGGAAAATGAACACAGCTAACGGCGGACATGAGGAAGATGAAGAGGAGGAGGAAGATGAAGAGGAGGATGAAAGCTGAAATGTGATCAAACATTATGAACTGAGACATTTTAATAAACTTTGATCTCATTTCAGGTTTTTTTTAACCATTTTTAGGTGTAAAAATAAAAACAACCAAAACTTTCCTGGATCCTACAAGATGCTTCCCAGCAGCCGTTCACCGCTAGCTGAAGCGTTAGCTACATAAACATTAGCTCTGCTAACAAAAAAAAAAAGCTACAGCTACATAGTATTTTACAGATGCTAATGCTAAAGCATGAAACTGCACAATCTCAGGAAACTATTCTGTGAATTCTGGTGAAGTAACCTGAGTTCAAAGGTCAGGACCCCGAGGACGACAGAGGAAAACAAACCTTTACGGCTAACACTGGATGGTTTATGAAGAGCATTGATCACTTTAAGATAAATAAACAACCTGCAAGTTCCAGAAATATCATCTGTAAATTCTTTAGAGGAAATATGAGGAAGTTCTCCATGTTTTGTGAAAGTAGCCTGAAGTTAGCGTAGCCTTTCTGACTGAAAGATTTTAGCTTCACCTACCAGGAGATTTTGGAAATTTAAGTTTCTCTGTGAAAGTAACATGTAAGTTCCAGGAAAATAACATGTAGATTAGAAAGCAAAAGTTAAAACTGTCTGTTAATATTTGTACAAAAATGTAAATTGTACATCAGAAATATTTAATAAATTTTAAATAATAAACTGAATCTTTGTTCATTTTACTCATCCTTATGCAGCTCTGGTGGATGTCAGCGCCTTGCAAATTAAAACTATTTACTTCCTCATAAATTTCATCCAGAAACAAACAGAAGAACAGGAAACAGTAAAAAAGGAGAGAAGAGTTGAATGTTTGGGGAACATCTCCCTCTAGTGGTGGAACTGCGTCATTACGTCCCACTAAACAAACAGCAGCTTCCCAGTTCAGATCCAGGTGGAGTTAAAACATGACTCATGCTTTTTCATTTAATTACATCAAATGTTTTAATCTTAAATACAGTTTAATTCAGTGATAAACAGAACCAAACATGACGAGGCAACAACTCAGTAAAACCTTGAAGTTTAGGAGATTTATTCTATATCTTCCTGTGAATAACAGAGAAATGTCACATTCAGAGCTAAAGGTTTGATTCTGGATCCATAATCAGGTTTTTTTTCTCTATTAATCTGATTTATCTGTCTATTTTTCATTTGAAATGAAAGATAAACTCAAAAATGGCATCTTAAAAAGGCTAAAAGTGGTAAAACGTGACATAAATATCAGTTAGTTTTAATGAGCCGCTGCCGTTAGCTTGCAGGACTCTTTGCATGACTCCTGCTGATCCTGTTGCAGTTGAATGCGTCTTCCTCTCGTCCTGCAGCAGGTAGTCCTGCAGCAGGTCTTCCTGCCTCCTGCTTTGGGACCAGACGTCCTGCTGGGTTCCCATCGGGTCGTCCCTCCTGCTGCTCCTCGCCCAGCTGCGTATTAGCATCAGCTCAGACTGCTTTGTGACGACAAAACGCCCATTTCCACCTCCATCTGGCCCTCAGAGGGAGAAACCAGGCAGGGAGCCGCAGCTTTACATGATTTAACGGCTTCCTGAACCTTCAGTCACAGAAAGACAGTTACAAAATCAGTTCATTTTTTATTGACTTCTTATTCTTTTGTTGTTATTTATCCTATTTGTTAAAAAGAGGAGCTTAAAATTCTTGAAAGTTTTGAAGTGGAACTTCCTTCAGGTTTAGCAGAAACAAAATTAAGTTATTATCTTTGTATCTACAGAACAATGATCTAGAGACAGTTAGTACAGCTGGAAACCAGCAATCAGGCCTGGAATCTGAATGAACTCAGAGCTGAACCTTCAGAGCAACATAGAGACAGTTACAAAGTCAGACTTCTATCACCAGAGGAGCCATAAGAAAATAGTTGGAATACCCAAAAAAATCTTTAGTTTTATCCAATTTTACATCACAAACATAGAAAGACATGCGTCGTAATTCTGCACCAGAAGACGACAGACAGTAAAACTGGATGAATCTATTAGTCATGTTTTCTTTTTCTACTGTCTTATTATGATTTTGAAACAACATTTTTGTCTCCTGTTGCTCAAGAACATTAAAATTGATCCATTATTACGTCCAGAGCGCTGCTGTTCCACATCAACGTTCTTCTTCTGCATATTAGTTCACACAGAAATCTGATTGATTAATGATCAGCATGAACGACAAAACAAAATTAGATTTCAGCAAATCTAATTGTTGATTGTCACAAGCAATTAGAAAATTAATGAACTACAAGATGAACGTGTCATCATCCATTTTGGTTGTTATTTAATATGCATTTGGGGTTAAAGGTCAGATTAGAGGTTGGGCTGTGTTTCCATGTGGATGAGGCCAAAAACACAACCCTGAGGGACACCAGCTTCACTGCTTCGAATAGTAAATCTTACATTGGTGAATTTAACAAGTTATTTCTATTTTTAAGAATGTTATTTCTAAACATTTTGACCTTTTTATAACAGAATGATTCATCAGAAGTTACTCTTTCCTCTGAAATTGTAGAAATGTTGGACTGAAAATTAGTTGAAAAGGCGTTTTAGAATGGAAACATATAAAACAAATTTTCCAAATCAAATGTATTTATATCACACATCGACAACAAACTCAGTGCTTCACAACGATCATAATAAGTAAAGTTATGTTTGATAAACTGATAATAAAATGGCAATAAAATACAAAAAAATAATATAAAGATAAAGACATATGCTATTTCTGTGGCAGCAAAACATAAAAATTTCTCCTTTTTTCCAGTTTTAATCTAATTTAAATTTAATTCTGAGCTACAGTTTTATTTTTAAGCTTTAATTAACAAGATGTTGAACATTTTCCCTTCATAGAGAAATTAAAGTCAAAATTAAATTAACTCCTTGTTGAATTAACTGTAGTTAATTTTTACATAAACAAACAGTTTTAAAGTTACTTTAAATATTCAGGAATAAACAAATAAATCCTATATTTGTTTTCAGGATTAAAACCTTTTCAGTCTGAAGCTGCAGAATTTGGACTTTTGGTTCTGGTTGGTTCTGATTGGTTCCGACCTGCAGCGGTCAGAAAGGAGGCGTGGCTTCCGGAGCCCCGCCCACTTCCTGAATGGGAATCACCTGGAGAGCAGAAAGCAGGATGAGGTTTGAACCAGGATCTGATCAATGTTCACAAGTGAGGCAGAGAAAACCTGGAGCTCAGATTTAATCCTGGATTTACTGATTTGATCATTTTTATTTTCAGGGAACTTTGAGAATATTTACGGATAAATTATTATATTTATATATATTAAAACTGTTGGAGTTGGAACTCGGATATTTTAAATTAAAAATGCAGAATTTGAGGTGAGTCGTGAAAAACTAAAAGTTAAATTTTCTTGTTTTTGTCCATTTTAATGATTTTAATCCTGTTTCTGTTTCTTCAGGCTCCTGCTCGCTGTTTTCTGGAGCCTCCAGTTTGTTTCTCCCTCAGGTTGGTTTAATCCACGATGTTTATTAGAGGCGATCATTTCATGATGCGTTCAAATGCACCTCGGAAAACTGTAAATTAATCTTAAATTTTCCTCAACGTTCAGAATAGTCCGAGCAAAAGGGGATGAGGGACAGTAAAACATGAAGGAATGATTTTAGTCTCTAAATTTTGACCTTTTTCCTCAGAATTAGATTTTTTTTCACATCAGACAAATCTGATCTTAAAACTCAAACTTAACAAATAAATTTCAGTTTGGATGAAGTTAGAAATAAAATCCCACTTTACAAATCCAGTAACAGAAAGAAAAAGTTTCATGATTATTTTCATGTTTTATCAACACAGATAAGAATATTCGGTTATTTATTTGGATTTTCACAAATGTTCACATAGAATAAACAAATCTGAGATTAAAGTTAGATTTGTTTTTTCCAGTGACCCTAATCTTCTTCTGTAATAATCAGTTAAAGTTTATCTTTAAAACATAAGTTTTATCCTAAAGCTGTGCATGTAGTCGTACATTTTCTAGATGTACTTGAACGCATCATGAAGTTTTTCCTCCATGTAATTTGCTGATCAGAGAAAAACCTTTAAATTGTTTCTTACTGTTAAACAATGTAAATTCAGCTGTTTCTCCTCTTTGGTCAGGCTGTGGTTTAACTGGTTTGGAGCCAGTTTGGCTCCAGTAGCTGCTGGTTTCTCCTCATTTGCACATCAGTCAGATGTAAAAGTGGGACTTTGTTCTGAAACAGTCATCAGGAAAGTGAGAAAATGTGGGAAAATGTGGCTGTCAGTTCACATTTCAGAGTGAAGTCACTGATTTGTCCCTGAATCAGAAACATTTTGACCATTAAATCAGATTTTCCTGCTGATTATTAAATGTTTTCATTTATTTATTCTGAATTTCAAATTGGACGCACAATTATTTACTCAAACCTGACTTTTTATTTCTTTCAGGCTCTGAGGGAATCCTCCACTCCTCCTCCTCTACTACTGCTGCACCATCTTCCTCATCTCCTCCTCCTCCTCTGGTGGCCCAGTCCTCCCAGTCCTCCCAGTCCTCCCAGGAGTTTCTGTCCCAGTTTACCCAGGTGAATTCTCCAAACAGCGGAGACCGTAAACACCGAGACGCCAGCGCCGTGATGCCCTTCATCGGCCTCACCAGCAGTACGCTTACACACACACACAGACACACACACACACACACACACACACACACACACACACACACACACACACAGGAGTGAATAAATCGAACTCAAACGGTGAACACGTGTAACTGAATCAACGTTTCTGCAGCAGGAATTCGAGTCAAAGGTTTCTTGAGGGTCTGGATTGAGTTTTAGTGTTTTCCTGTTATTTTCAGATGTTTGCTGAGACTCTGGTGTTTACTGGTGTGGAGCGGAGGAGTGCTGCTGGAATGCAGCTGCAGACTCTGGTTTATTTCACAGAGAGGAGCTGCAGCAGCTGGACAGCAGATCCAAACTGAAAACCTGCAGAATCGATCTGAGGAGGATTCCTCTTCATGTTCAAACCCAAAAAAACTCAAATCTGTTAACAAAACGAGGAAAATGAGACGATAACAGTTTGTTAAACACAAAAGATCAGATGTGGAATCTGTAAAAATTCAGATTCAGATCATTGTTTTCTGTTTTCCAAAATATAAGCTAGAGGTGGAGTAAAACCTTTTTCTAGCTTTTGCTCATTTTTAATTAACATTTTTTATCTATCACTAATATTTACCTGTCCAATATGTGAAACTCTGGTTCTGAACGGAAAAAACAAAATTATATAGACCAAAGAAGAAAGTCTGACATCTTGAAGGAAAATGTTGTTTCTGAGGCCGATGGAAACGGAGGATCAGGTTGATGTTTGAAATGATTGAAATGTTTTTAAGGCGCTGATCAGAGCCGCAGCTGCTGCAAAAACGGAGGAACCTGCATCCTGGGCAGCTTCTGCGCCTGCCCTCCATTCTTCACCGGGAGGAGTTGCGAGTACGACACCCGACTCAGGTAAACCGCCCGGTGGTTTCCTGTGTTTTCAGCAACATTAACATTTCCATTCACTTAGTTCTGATCCACAGTTTCTCGCTGTGGCTCTTTTGCCAGTTTTTCCAGTTTTTGGGTTTGTCTGTTTGCAGACGATGTGGCGTTGTTCCTCATGGTGAGTGGGTCCAGAAAGGCTGTTCCTACTGCCGCTGTTTCTACGGCGTCTTGCATTGCTTCCCTCACGTTTTCCACCAGGACTGCGGTGAGAACGTTTAGCAGCTAGAATCTGTCCTTATTCAATATAAAATGTTAAATCTGGGAGTCTTTTTGAGACAAGAGTTTTATTCTAGTTTTAATTCTTCATGTGGTTCAGTTAATCCCTGAAAGGTTTTGTGATCTCAAAGGTGTGGAAGAGCAATCAACACCCACAGGTCACACGTTTCTCCCAAAACAAAAAAAATCCTTCTGAGTGTAAATGCGGCTGAATGAATTTGCTCCACCTTCTCATTTACAGTTCAAGCCTTTTCCCCCCAAACAGTTTCCTGCTAAACTCCTGAACAACCAAACCTTAGAGCAGAAACTCTGACGTTGAGTTTGGGATGTTTGTTGAAACCAGAAAAGAAAAGAAACACAAGTTTGATCTTTGTTTGACGTCCCAAAACTTTGTTCTTTAAAGCAAAATGTCAAAAGTTTAAATGTTGAATTTCCTCTTAAATTGTTTTATTTGTCAGCAGAACTGAACCAGAACCGACCCAAACTGCTCTGGCCCCACCAAACATGCTACTGCTAACATTAGCATTGTATGAGAATCAAATGATGCCAAAAGTTATTATGATTTTAAAGCTTGTTAGAAATACTGTCTAAAGATGCAACTTCTTACACATGCTGAAATAATCTACTTTTGTATTTTTCTCCTAAAAATTCATTCATTTATTCATTCATGTTCAAAATAAGGAAAAGTCACGAATATTTGTTATGATTAAATAAAGGTTTAGAACATTTTTGGAAAGAAATATCTTAACTAAAGTTTGTATCAAACATCCAGCAGATAATGTAAAACTTTCTCCATCCTAATTCATGTGATAATTCATGTGATAATTCATGTGATAATTCATGTGTTGCTCTGAGTTTCATCCTGAGGGTTAAATCTTCATCTTGGAGCTAAAGAAGAGACAAGGCAAACGGTCGTACTTTATCTGAAGTCAACACAGAGTCATTCACTTGTGTCGTTTTTCCAAAAATAAACGAGCTGCAGAGTGCAGAGAGTGACAGTTTTCCTTGTCCTGCCTGGAGATAATCGTGTCTCTTTAAGAGCAGCTGAAAGATGAGATAAGGGAAGCTAAGTTTAGAGAAAGTGAAAGAACAAGATAACAGCCTAAAATACATTAAATGGCTCTGAAGACGTGAATTTAATGATGGTTTCATTTTCTCCTAGATGACTCGGATGAAGAGGTTCGTTGGTATCACTCGGCGGCGGTCAGGTTGACTCCTCCCAGCTGTTTCCTGTCTCTGCTGCTGCTACTTCCTGTGCTCCTGGTCTTCTGACGCCACCGGACTTTATTCTCTAATCGGCTCCAAACCGACGTGGATAATAAAACTGATGATGCTGCAGTATTTATTTAAGAGTTCTTCCAAAGTAAAGCCTGTTTGTCTGAAAGATCTAAATGTATGGAAGAAGATTAGTGCCACTATAAAAAAAATCTCAGAAATTAGATGTTTTTACCTCATAATTGTAACTTTTTTTTCAGATTTTACTTTTTTCTTAAAATCACTTTTTGGATTTTTTTTTCTCAAAATTTTAACATTTTCCTCAAATTCTGGCTTTTTCCCCCACTCAGAATTATGAATTCTGAGAATTTTTAACAAATCTTTAAAATTTCTGGAACTTTTAAGTTAATTTTGCAAAATTGTGACTTTTGTTCTCAGAATTCTGAGAATTAAAATCCAAAAATGTTTTTTTTTTTCTTAATTTTTTTTCCCCAAAATTGTGGCTCAGAATTTTCATGTTGACTTCTGGCTTCTTTTCTTGACATTCATGTGACATTAAAGTCAAAGTTCTCAAAACGGATCAAAGTTTTGTTCGGTGGGTCTAATACTCTTCAGTATAAATGAAATGAAGGAAGCTGTATATATGATTTTTATAAAAAATGTTTCAAAGTCATTTTATTTTTTCTTTGTGAAAGAAAATCTTCCTGATTCTCGTTCCAAACTGATCCGATGTGAGGTTTTGTCTTTCACCTGGTTTGTTTAATTAAAGCTTTATTGATGCTGCTGATGCTCAGGGTTTTGTTTTCGGCGGTTCTGCAGTTTCCAGCCTCTCTGTTATCTGCAGGTATTTCCAGAGGGGAGCCGTTCTCTCCTGCCTCTTATCTGCAGTTTATTGATGAGCTTGGATTTGATTATCTGCTGCTTTCTTATCTAAAACAAACAGGAGCTGCTCTGCAGTCCGTTGCCTGGTTTTCTGAAACTCCCAATGGTTAAAAAGAATAAAAATAAAAACAACCTTTGCAGGTTTATTTCAATTAATTAGCCATAAAATTCAATGTGTTTTGGTTCATGGTGGAGAATAATAAAAAATTGCAGTAAAGTGTGGCATGTATGTGATTTTAATCTGTTAACTTGAGGCTGTAAATAAAATCCGGAGCATCCAGTCATTAGTCAGTGAAGGTCTCATCTGTTGTTTCGTTTTAGTCACTTTTACTTTCATCTGCAGCTTCATTTCACTAAAATAAGAAAACGATGTGATTCAGAGCGTCTATTTAATTTAAATAAAATATGTCTTGTGAAAACCTAAATGTTCCCATTTAATTTTTTGTTTATTTTGTATCAATATTTTGGTATTCAAGCACATAAAGCTGCAGCATTTGGCTAAAAGCTAAGCTAACGTTTTTGTTTAGTGAACTTTGCTTCCCTAAATAAATTCTGCGGCGATTTATTCACTCTCAGCTGAATTAAGTTCAACATCTGTGTTAAAGGTTTGACTTACTGCTAAGAATCGCTTAATGTTTATATTTATGCTCTTATTTTGAAGTGGGCGAAAACAGTTTTTTTTCCTGAATCAAAATTTGAAACATAAAGTAAAGCAAACAATAGAGAAGATATGAACCCGAACCCTGAACATCAAAATTAAACTGGTGCTCCAGCTTTGCAGAGTTTCAAGGGCAGATAAAATTTTAATTGAAGTTAGCACTTTAGCATTAGCACCTGCTAAGTACCTTGTTGGTGCAGCAGCAGGTTAGCCTGAATGTAATTTATAATTAGTTCTTTGGGGTTAATGAAACTAACTTTAATCTCTTATTTCCACCAAAATAAAATCCAAAAATTCAACTTTATTCTTGATTGACTTTAACCTCAACAAAAATCACCCATACCAGGAACTAATGTCGGGATGAGGAGATGATCAGGAAGGTTTTCTACTCTTAATCCCAGAGTAATCAGAGTGTAATCTCCCCATTGTCACCCAGCCGACTCCAAATAACAAGTTAATTAAAAACGCTTCACCGTCTGAGTGGAAGAAGTCGATGAAAAGCTGTTAACGTGATTTTAGCTTCAGTTTGTCAGCAGGTCAGACGTCCAGCCGTGTTTTTGCACCAGAGACTCAAACTGCAGCAGAGGAGAGAAGAAGCTGCAGCGGATTGAAGAAAGTGGATTTAAAACAGATGAATGGAGACGTGAATGAGGAGGAATTTAAAACGACTTCCTGCGTCTCCTCCTGCAGGAAGACAGAAAAACTGCTCAGAAAACATCTGACTGTTTCTGCCAAAGAAAAGGGATGCATGTGAAAACACAGAAAATATAAAACAAACAGTTTCTCAACAAATTGCTGTAAATTAAACTGAATTCATCATGAATCATTTTAACCCTTTAATTACTTAGTTTTTTTTCATCTATTGTGTTTGAAAAGCTTTGCAGTTTTAAAAATTGTCAGAAATAAGGAAACATATGCAAAAGTAAAGTTATTAAGCATTTACAAAAGTACATGTAACACAGGGGTAAAGATACAAAAAGATGACATTTTAATTTAGATAAAAATAATAAAAGATTTAAAGAAAATTCTCCATAAAATAAACAACCTGGTCAAATTTCCCCAAAGCTTCTGTAAAAATATCTAAAGATGAGATTTGATCTCATCAGCTCTCTGCTGACATCTACAGGACAATCCCTGAAAAGCTCATGTTGAATACTCTTGTAATCGGCCATTTTTCTCTATGCAGTACTTTGACTAGACCGACTATACAGGACCAGAGTAAATATCTGCCAATAAACCTAGTTAAGATTTTATTCATAGTTTTCTGAAGAATGATGCGTCGCAGCGTCAGAAAACAGCAATTCTTTCCACTTCACTGGTTTCCAGTTCAACTTTATTGTAAAGAGAAGTTTGTACCACATTTACAATTATTTAAGGTTGAATTTCATTGGCTGCTTTTTGTCACAGCAAGTAAAACATTGTTTACTTGGATTCCACTGATTGGAACAAGGATTCATTTCTCTCCAGAGAAGAAGCAGGAAGATAAAAAACTCCAGGAACTAGTCCAGTCCTCTGGTCTCCATTCAGCTGCACACACCCAGTCTGACAGTTTGCTTCCCATCATGCATTTCTTCCTGAGCAAAACCTCCTCATGATGTCAGTCACTGCTCATAACATCAGGACTTTGTTTAGGATGAATGCAGTTTTTCATCACATAAAATTAAATTCAGCTTTAATAACATTCTGACTTCATTATAAGTTTTAACATTAAGATTCATGTCACTAGATAATAATTGATCATTCTGAACGTTTCGTTTTGCTGGATAACTTTGGAAATGTGCTGCATGAATAAAGTTATTGTTCGAGAAACTTTAAAATAGCTGATTCAGTTTAAATATCTCATAAAGTGGATTTGAGTTTTACATGTAGGAGCAAATGAAAAGACTGGAAAATGACAGAAGTTTTGATGTCAGTACTTTTTATTTGATCTTTTCTCTTTCTGCTGTCAAAGATTCAGACGTTTCCATGGAATCAGTTGATCTGTTGGTTAATTGATCCTTTGGAGAAACTGAGACGCTTTCTGCAGTCTCTGTCTCCTCTCCTCGAAGAAGTGCTGCTGGTGCTGGTTCCTCAGGTTGAGGCGCAGCAGCCACTGCTCCCTGAGCCTGAAGAGGAGAGAAAGACAACCTGGAGGTCAGGAAGGTCAGGAAGGTCAGGAAGGTCAGACAGACAGTTATTGTTCTGCAAAAGCAGGAATCCGTCCATTTACTGGATCATATGGATGGAAAATAAAACATATTCAAAAGGAAGCAGGTATTTCCACTAGCTTGCTAATTGTGTTGCTTAGTGATTTGGCTAATAAATGTAATTTTTAAAGTGTTTTTATAACAATATGTAGTGGAAAATTTGCTGCTTTTGTGTTTTTCTCGCTCTGTCCTGCAGAGTTGACCCCGGGTCGTTGCAGCAGGACGTCTCTTGTTGTGGAAAGAGGAAAGCCGTGTTGACTGAGGGATTAATTAAGTGATTGTCTTGCTGATCTCCGGGATTCAAACCTGCGGCCGCGCCGCCTCTAATCAACATTCTCAGGCAACAACGCGATGACAGACAAACAAGCTGCCAACACGGCCGAGGCATTTAATGAACCCGTCCGTCTCTGGATCCCTGGCTAATAAAGGTTATTTTTAGTTCCCTTCCTGTCTGACACCAGGGCGAGCAGATCGTCCATGAAACTAAAGCAAAGTTCAGAAACAGAGAGAGAAATCTCAAATCCATCCCATAATAACTTAATGACAATAAACGAAGCTTGTTATTTTAAATGACTTTTTTATTTCAGGTTTTTATTTAAACATGTTTGTATAGAAAAGTGATGGCCGCTGCTATGAACAACCAGTTAGCTGCTAAGCTAGCAAGGTAACTAGCATGCTAGTGCCAAGATGCTAACACAGTAAATCCATTATTTCACTCCTGAAACAGTACAAAAAAAACTGCTTAGTGTAATAACGCCTAGCAACGCCATCCAACCCATCCCCGTTACCTAGCAACGCCATCCAACCCATCCCCGTTACCTAGCAACGCCATCCAACCCATCCCTGTTACCTAGCAACGCCATCCAACCCATCCCCGTTACCTAGCAACGCCATCCAACCCATCCCCGTTACCTAGCAACGCCATCCAAGCCCATCCCCGTTACCTAGCAACCCAAGCGGAGCTCCAGCATGTTTGTACAATGGCTGCTGGAAAACTCAACTGTTTTGTTGTTGATGTTCCATCCATAAGCCACTTGCTTGATTCTTGTTGGTTGTGCAGGAGGCTACACTTCTGCTTTTCAAAGACGTATAAGCTTGAATTTGGTGGGCGTGGCTGGCAGCAGCTAATTTGGATTTAAAGAGACAGATGCCCTAAACAGGAGCAGAAAATCTCATTATCTGAGAATTATTAAGCAGTGATTTTGTCTGACTTGTTCAAGGAAGAATAAAACCTTTAAATCTGATGGAAGCTGCTGTTTAAGTTTCTGATGGCTCCTTGTATTGTTGGTTTAGTTGTAAAATGTTTGATTGGCTTTGCCTTCTTTTAGCAGGACGTCATTTTTAACTAAGACCTGTTGTTGGCATCAGTCAGACTCGTCCTGGATAAAACCTTTGACTCGCAGCGTTAACGTCCTCTGACCGTGTCAGGGCGCTGCTCCGCATGCGGTTCTCCTCCTGGTCCATCTGCCGGCTGTGCTGGACGATCCTCTCCTCCCAGAACCATCGCAGCTTCTGCTTGTCATGGATCCGAGCCGCGCTCATCGCCTGGAAACAGGAAGGCTGCGGGAGAACCGACAAAGATCCACAAAT